TTAATTTTTACGCTTAATTCCTATATGCAGTCATGGACCATTATTGGTGGACGGTCCATATAGTTGGGATTATACAAAAATAATTAATAGTTTGGATTATTGTTAGAGGACCGGCAATATTTGGGATTATTATTTTCAATTTTTCCTAGATTCAATGGTTATTTATTGAATCGTGGGTTTATTTTTTTTTACTCTAGGGGGCGTCTGGGGGAGGGGGGCTGGGGGCCTGGAGTAATCAGGGTTGAAACTCACTTCATTGAGTTTCAAACCCTTGTGTATATTCTTTTGTATGTTGATGATATCCTTATCGCAGGCTCGTCTATCTCTTTTGTCAAGTCCATTATTGATAATTTGTGACTACAGTTTGCCACGAAGGATTTGGGAGATATAAATTATTTCTTGGGCCTTCAGGCACGTCGCACACATCATGATTATTTCTTTCTCAGGCTAAATATACATCTGATTTGTTACGCCACTTTCATCTTCATAAGGTTAAGTCTGTTCGTATTTCACTTCCTTCTCGTACTACACCTTCTCTCACATATCGGGAACTTTTAACTGATGCTATTGAGTATCGTGGTATGGTAAGTGCCTTACAGTACTTGACCATTACTAGACTTGGCATTACATATGTTGTTCATATGATATCTCAGTTTATGCATGCTCCACGTACATCTCATTTATTGGTTGTCAAGAGAACTTACAGGTATTTGCAGGGCACTTCTACCCACATGGGTTGTGGCTACAGTTGAACAAAAATATTTCGGTCATTATAGCTTATTCTGATACTGACTGGGCAAGATGTCCAGATAGATCTCGTTCCACAACAGGCTATGTGGTGTTCTTGGGCAATAATTTGATTTTAATTTGATTTCTTGGCGCTCCAAAAAACAACCCACGGTGCCCAAGTCCTCTACCGAAGAAGCTGAGCAGAGGGCTATTGCTTATACTGTTCGAGATACTCTATTTATTCGTTCATTGCTGGTAGACATGAGTAGTCTTATTTCGTCTCATGTCCAACTCCATTGTGATAATGTCTCTGCTCGATATCTGGCTGTAAATCCTATTCAGCATGACCGTATCAATCACATAAAAATTGATTATCATTTTATTAGGGAACGTGTAACCCATGAGGTTTTGTTGTTAAATATATCTCTACTTAGTTGCGGTTAGCCGATATGTTTACTAAGAATTTATCCAGAGACTTATGTGTAACTCTAAACCTCTGTTTTATTACAGGGAACAGTATGGAAAAAGTATTTGTGTTTGAGCCTGTTTCAAATAGGTTCATGTGTTTCATTCTTTATCAAAGTGGTTCATGTGTTTGAATTACGTTATCACAAGAGGGTCACGCCGTTAAAAACATTTGAAAAAGACCGTTAAAAGTAACTTCGATTTTCAAAAGTGTCCGAAAAATTAAAAGAAAAATACCGGAAAGTGCGCCTCAATAAGACGACCGCTAGGCCATCTTTCTTTTTTGTTTTCAGCCACCCTTTTCATCAGAAAGTTCATCGGAAAAGTGATATTAGCGAAATCATTTTTAAAAAATAATTCAAACAAATCTGAAAAATCCAAAGGAGAAGGTGGTTTGGAGGTCATCTTGACGAGACGCGTCTTTCGGTATTTTTCTTTAATTTTTCGAGCACTTTTGAAAACCGGAGTTACTTTTAACGCTATTTTTCAGGCGTTTTTAACGGCATGACCCTCTTGTGATAACGAAATTCAAACACATGAACTACTTTGATAAAAAATGAAACACACGAACCTATCTGAAAACAGGCCCAACCACAAGTACATTTTCCGTACTTTTCCCTTTATTATAAATACATGCTCAAGGTTCCCAATAGGGTAAGCCATTGTTTCCCATATTATTACTACCTCCCTTCCCATTTTAACTTCCAAATGGATTTGGTACAAAGTTTAAGATAGTGGATATTGTGTGGTGGAGAGTTGTGCAGAGGAGAGAGAAATGTGTAAGAAATATTGTGAACCACAAATTCTTTACCAAAAAGGGAAAGTAGAAGTTTTAATTGGAACGAACGAAAAAGGAAAGTTGGAAGTTTATTTAGGAACGGAGGGAGTATTTTGTATAATATACTCATGTTTGTAGTTTGTATCCCTGTTCCATTCGGAAACCCAAATTAAGAAGGATATATAAATGAGTAACTTGTTAGTCAGGACACTATGAGCATCATGCTCCAGGGATAAAACACGGATGAACAGTACCCGCAGATGAACAGTAATTTTTTATTTTGTATTTCAGTAGCAGGGTAATGTAACTCCCGTTTAAAAAATGTAACTCACATTAATAAGAAATGTAACTTCAGTCAACTTGAAATGTAAGTTGTCTAAAACGAAATATAAGAAAAAACTACAATGATTTCAATGTAAACAATGAAAAATTGATCCTATTTACCCAATTACTTTTGTAAATAGCGAATATGTTTTATTTTTAATATTAGGGCCATAAAAATGATATAGTTAAGAATATATATATTATAAACTTTGGTTTCAATGTAAAATTGATCCTAATTGATTAATTACTTTTTGTAAATAGTGAATAAGTTTATTTAATATTAGGGCTATAAAAATGATATAGTTAAAAAAGAATCATTTTTTATCATTAGCCATGATTTTTTTCTTAGTGTAACTCACGTACATTAAGATGTAACTCACGTATGAACAGATGTAAATCGTGCATAAGAAGATGTAACTCTATATTTATAATATTAAATGTAAACAATGAAAGCAATGAGATTAATATTTTTCAATTATTTTACGTAAATAGTGAATATGTTTTGTTTTTAATATTAGGGCCATACAAATGTTTTAAAGGGAAAAAATTGCCAAAAAAAATCTTTTTTTACAAAACAAAAAGATTTTTTTGTTTCAATAGCATGAGTTTATTTTGTGGTGTAACTCGTGTTATGAAAAATTTAACTCTCGTTGATGAAAAATTTAACTTAGGTGTATGCAAAATGTAAATTGTTGAGGCAAATCCAAATGTAACTCACGCATAGAAAGATATAACTCATCCACTAGGAGCATGATGCTCATAGTGGGCCGGTGCAACGGTATACGAACTGAGTGTTCTGACTAACAAGTTACTCATTTATCAAATGTAACTCCAGAAATCGTAACATAACTCACATATATGAAAAATGTAATCGATCTCACGTTTTATCAGATTTAAATCAAAATAAATAAGCTTAAAGTCTCAAAAAAACTACAAACATATAAAAGAGAAAAACTATATTATAAAAGAAGTATTTTACAAAAAATAAGTATAAATGAAAGAAATATGACACCAAAAATAAATTTGGTAGTACTTATTTTATGTGGATTAAAAAATTTAGTAATAAATTGGTAAGGAAAAAAGTTAATTCAATTTTAATTTAATTAGTTAAAGATAAAGATGAATAAAATCACAATTAGGTTTTAGTATTTTGATGGAGGTGAAAATAATTGGAGAAAACAAAAAAGAAAAATAAAGAAAGGAGATAGTGCTTCAAACAAACCTGGAGGGCACGAGAGAAAAGAAAAGACACGTATGTAATGCTCTAAAAGGAGGGAAACGACACCGCATATGGTATCGGTATACCATGCGCATGGTATACCGGTACCACGGTATAATTTGCCCAGAACACTTGTTAAAAAAAGAAAATGAAAAGAAAACGGTCGCCGATTAGGAAATAGGAATAAAGGGTTTTGATCCTATCTTTCCCTTTTCCTCTATTTCTGTAAGACTTATCTGCATAGGTAAACACGCAATGAGAATGAAGGTTTAAGAGTTCCTTTTCCCTTTTCCTAGCACCCTGTTTAGAAAATCTCTAATGCATATTAATGTCTCTTTGTTTCAATCTTTTTTTTGGAAAAATCTTTGATTTTAACTACAAGAATCAACTTTTGTTTCTCAATTCTTTTTACCTATGAACCACTTGCAATTTAGTTAGTGTAATTGTCATTTTTAAAATCACTCTTGGTACACCCATAGCCGATAGGCGGTCTCGCCTCACTCCAAATTTTCTAAAATCTAATCCTGTCTCGTTAGATTTATCATGTTTTAAAAAATGATTGAGAAGGTATAAGTTGTGATTGAAATTTGAGTACGAAAAATATGAAATGATATGAACCACATACTATTGTCAAAAGAAAAGCATAACAATTACTCCGTAGTTTAGGACATCTCAAAAAGAAAATAAGATAATTATTTCGTGGCGGGGAATGAAGTATATTTTTACTGAAAACAAAGTTTAATACGAAGAAATCTATCAACCAGTTCATCCTTTTTTGTTGTTGTGCCACTGGTTTCACCTATACATAATTTGTTAAACTACGGGTTTGGTGGCGGCTAATATGAAATGGATGGGAATATTTGGTAAAATAATGTGACTCATAATGGGGTGTTTGGTAAACGACATTTCAGTCAAAAAATGACGGTTTGATCACTTTTAGCGTTTTCTATAAGTGAAAAAGTTGTTTGGTAAATTGTTGTTCGGCACTAGCGCTTTTGAATGGAAATGCTGAAATGAAAACGCTGCTAATAGGAGAGTTTTGGATTGACGTTTTGAAAAATGACATTTTCTACTAATTTTATGATCAAACAGCTAAATTACCAAACATGCTCTGACAACCCGTCAATTTATTCTGTTAGTCAAACCCGCTGACCGAATCCACTATTGACAATCCGCTAACATAACCCGTTATCCGCTAAACATCGAACGCCAAACACCCCAATATAAGTACTTTTTTTTAAAGACACCCAAATATAAGTACTAGGCACATGTTTAATTTGATTCCTTTTATTTATGTCGTTAAAAAAGTTGGAGAGCAACTAAAGTTGTATGTGGGGGTATGAAGTCACTATGGCGGTTAAAGTGTATGGTCAGACCGGTGCTGAATAATATTCTTCTTTAATTGGTTTTTGCCATTTGGCCCATCTGGATTAGATTTTGTGATATTAATAATTATTATTCTCTCCCAAACTCTTGCTTTTCTGATTATAAACACCAATAAGGCAATAAATGTCTTATAATGTGCTTTGAGAATCTATGACTGGTCTGTTTGGTGAGGCTTGCATTTGAAGTCTTTCTTTCACTTTTTTGTTGTTGTTGAGAGAGGTCACTCAAATGAGGGTTTATGCCAATGGTTCCTTGCTTTAATATCAGAGTTCTATTCTTGAAGCACTTTCCCAGATGCTGGTTAGATCGTTTCTTCAAGGGGCATAGGTCAGGCTTTATTTTTCAATAATTGCTATAATACTTCTGATGATTAAACAAATATATTTTCATAGCATCCGAGAAAAAACTCATATATTTCACCAACAAATGGGAGATTGTCATCACCATATTATTGCTTAGATTTTGAGGTCGAGTCTTCTGTTATTCACCTTTTGTTGAGACTTTAGAGAGCATTGGTAAGCTCTTATTTTTCAGTATGACAAATCAGAAAATTCCAATCCATTCTGATACACTAGTTCATACAAACCCGGAAAATTCCAATCCATATGATCAGCAACTCTCTATTTGTTGGTTTGCAAACTCTTCAGTGACTAATTTTTTAATTGGGAACCTTGGTCTATGTTTGAGCTTACTCAAAAATGGACATTACAGTGGTCTAGGAATAGTTCAGCTTAACATCCTGAGATTATCACAAACTTGCCACCCAGTGCCCCTAAATTTTGACTCTAATCTAAGAGCAGAAACAATAAGTGTAATTTATTGAGCATGATTGTTTCCTCACCTTATTGCCTAGGTTTTCATGGTGAGGCTCATACTTAATTCTTATATCTTTGTTGGGTGTTGGGTTCATTTAGAAACAACAATTGCAGCATGAGAGTTTATACAGATGGCCTCACTACTTCAAGTCTTCAACTGTACTTAATAATGTGTTATCTTGCTTGCTTACCCCTCCGTCTCTGTATATTGTTTCTGTAGATTTATTCGGCAATGGAGAAAGGTTTCGGCTTTAGAGAATTCATCACTGTTTTACTGGTTCTGTCATCCTTTATCAGTTATTCAGACGAAAAAGAACACTTATCCTCCATCGAAAGCCAAACACTTCTGAGAATTCGGGAGCTTCTATACTCTCCAACTTCATTAAGCAGTTGGAATAACCAAACCAATTTCTGCAACATTGGACCATCTCCATCTCTTACCATTGTCTGCTATGAAGGAAGCATAACTCAGTTACATATAATCAACAAGGGCATTACTTCCCGATTGCCGGAAAACTTCTCCATTGATTCCTTTGTTGCTTGCCTTGTTAAGCTCTCTAATTTGAAGGTCCTCAAATTGGTTTCTCTGGGATTATGGGGCCCACTGCCGGGGAATATTTCAAATTTATCTGCTCTAGAGATACTTGACTTGAGCTCTAATTTCTTACGAGGAACCATACCGCCAAGTATCTCTTCCTTAACCCATCTCATAGCTCTTACACTAGACGGTAACAACTTTACTGGAAGATTGTATGAGGATTTTGATTTGCTTCCAGATTTGGTAGTTTTGAGTGTAAAAAACAATTCTCTCACAGGCACGCTGCCAAACACTCTAGGAGATTTACGAAATCTTCGGGTTCTCTCCTTGGCGAGGAACAAATTTATCGGAAATGTGCCGGATTTAAGCCGTCTGGAAAACCTTCAAGTTCTGGATTTGGAAGAAAACTCGCTCGGACCCAGGTTTCCGAAATTCGGATCCAAAATCACCACCCTCGTGCTTAGGAGGAACAAATTTGCCTCTAACATACCGGACGAAGTGCGATCGTGTAACCATCTTCAACACTTGGACGTTTCTTCCAATGAACTCATCGGGCCGTTTCCGCCGTCATTGCTTTCTCTTCCGTCGATCGGTTATTTAAGCATTGCGGAAAACAAACTGTCGGCAGTGCTTGATGAAAATCTTCCGTGCAATTCTGCACTGAATTTCGTGGATCTGTCCGATAATCTGTTGACCGGGATATTGCCTAGTTGTCTTACGACCGGTTCGAAGAACATGGTTGTGCTTTCATCCGGAAACTGTTTACAAGGCGGAGATAAAGATCAACGTCCGGTCTCGTTCTGTATGAACCAAGCTTTTGCGGCGGGGATTATACCTCGTCGTGACAGTAAAAGAAGAGGTTCCAAAGCGATTCTGGCGTTGATCATATGCGGGAGCATTTTAGGAGGTCTGGTACTACTTGCTATGGCGGTTTTGATAGCCAGAAGGTATTTTGGGAAGGACAAGAAAAAACCCGCCACTAGATTCATAGTGGAAAATGCTTCGTCTGTTTACACATCAAAACTGTTCTCTGACGCCCGTAAGTTTCTTCTCATCCTTTTTAATTTTTAGGGCTTTGGACCGGACCCATTTTTTGTCATTTTAACGTAAATACCCAAATAAAAAATCTGTGTACTTTGTAGTTTCTAATTTTCTATAAGGGAGTGTTTGAAAAAAATTGAAAAAAACGTTTTTCACTTTTTGATATTTTTTGAATAAAAATAATCTATATTAAAATTAATAAGTCAAACAACATTACGATAGACTCAAGATCATAACTATCTTATACATAAGTCCAATGATCAAACTTTGAATCTGCCACTCACAAACGAGACACATAAGTCGCTAATCATGTAATGGACAAACCGAAGATTAAAATCACCATATAAGTCTTCATTTTTCTATCGTGATTTTAACAAACTTACAACTCTACTAAAATAAAAACAAATAAATAAAAAGTAATTCAGATTACTGAAATAGGCAAAACTATAACAAAACAAGTCGACATAAGAAAATAATAAGGCAGCAACCCACTGATTTCTAGTTATGTCGTGTTGTAGCTTGGTTTCATTGGACCTTCGGATCTGTCTCGACTGTTTGAAAACCAATGACATTTATTCCAGTCTTGTACTTAATATTTTGATAAAAAACTTGTACCACTCTTTCCTCTTGTGACGGTGGTTTTGGAGGAGGGCGGATCAACGGTGTCGTCATAGATGAGTTGAGAAGCATAAAGGTATTTGAGAAAAACATATCTAAAACTTGATGAATAACATCAATGGCAATTGAACAATAGTATAACACTCTGGAAGGACTTGCATCATTTATTTGAGAAGAAACCACCCATAGAATAACTGTCAAAATTGACATAAGAAGAAGAACCCTAAAAATTCTAGGGAATAAAACACCACTCATATGTGTTCATAGACAACTTTTTCACTTGCGTATATACTTCATACTATGAAGAGTAATTTCCCTCCGACCTTCAAATTGAGAAAAACAAATCTCTAGAATGTTGAAAGCAAAGAAAAATACTTAATGTGATGTTCTTTCCACCCTTCAAGTAGAGGGAAAGCCACAACGCCTCCACCTTCTGGCCCTAGGGTTTAGTTCCGGCTACATCTCTCTCTATGAACCGATATAAAGGAAAATTTTCACCTTTTGACTTTACAAAAGTTGAAATGCGTATTTTCAAGTGATAACGTCTGCTTAAAAAGCATTTAAAACCAAAAGTTGGGAGCAGATTGAAGGGTGTTTTAAACTGCTTTTCACCTTTTCTATTACACAAAGAACACTTATTTTACCAAACACTAGCGATTTTCATTTTTTTAGAAACATATTTTTTCTCAAACACTACCAACTTTTACTAGTAAGCACTTCTGTAAAATCACTTTAAAATCACTTTTTAGAGTAGAAGTAATCGCAAACACTACCATGTCTACACGCCCGTTTTTGTCGATCATAGACAATTTTTCATTTTTGTAAAGTGAATTATCCGTGACACAAATAAAAATGAATTGTGAGTGGCACGAACATTTTTGAAGGAAAAAATGTTCAAAATAGTATTAAACGTGCACAAAATTCTAAAATAAGACCAAGTAAATTTTCTTCTCAAAATGTGACTTATTTACTCCTATTAAAAAAGAAAACAATGACACTCCTATTTGAAAATTATATTTTGTTATGCTCCTATTTTGCAAAATTTCTCAGCATGTGTAATTGGAAAGAGGCAAGGGGGGTTAAATTCAACATATGTCAAAAAGTTTCTTTTGTGCAGCTAAGTTATAGTATGGTCTTTGCCTTATGTTTAAGGGTATATGACTCGAGCGATGAACTTAGGATCGCCAAGTGTTCCATCATATCGGACCTTTTCACTGGAAGAACTAGAAGTGGCAACGAACAACTTTGATACATCAAGTTTCATAGGTGAATCTTCCAACGGTCAGGTACTCAAAGTTAAAGGTTGCGGTTTTCTATATAATGTAAAGTCAATATTTTACCATTTTTATGGTTGAAAGTTTACCATTTTCATGCACTCAGATATACAGAGGCCAACTGGGAGATGGTTCATATGTTGCTATTAAATGCCTAAAACTGAGAAGAAGCAATAGCATCCAAAGCTTCATGCAACGCATCGAGTTAATCTCAAAGCTCAGACACCAGCACCTGGCTAGTGCACTTGGCCACTGCTTTGAGTGTTACTTTGATGATTCCACTGTCAGTAGGATATTCCTTGTCTTCGAATATGTACCGAATGGGTCCCTGAGAAGCTGGATATCTGGTAATGTACCAAGCGCGCACACACATGAGTAATTTATATACTACATACATAGTATTTTTTACCCTTGTGTCAAAAATGAAACAACAAATCAACACATAGGATCTTTTAAACTAGAGATTCAGATCATTACAATGCATGCGAGCCAGCATGAGAGCGAACTTCTTCGGTCAGTTCCGTGGTCATCATGAGAGCCCCTATCGAAAATGAAAAAGTGTGCGGTCGTGATGAGGTGTTGGACAGTGAGTGATTGTGCCCTTAATAAATTGCACATTCCAGACAATAAATCAGACCCCATGAGGTATGCATCTTTAGGGGACTAAAGAAATTAGAGTTGTGGGATCTAGATAAAGTGTTTGGTCGTGAGAGAGATGAAGAGTTTGTCTCCCCACACACATACATAAATATTCCATGTACCATCTAGTGAACCTAGCTTGTCTAAATCGGCCAAATATGTAAAAAATGGTAATCACCATGTAAGGTTTTGAGCTGATTTCATACTTGAGCTAATTCCATGTTTGACAGTATTGCCTCTCGGTGCTTGGGTTTTACATTGCAGAGAAGCATGGAAGACCGGCACTAAATTGGGGACAGCGAGTTTCAGCTGCTATAGGAGTAGCTAAGGGTATCCAGTTCTTGCATACGGGAGTTGTTCCTGGTGTATTTCCTAATAAGTTGAAGATAACAGATGTTCTGTTGGACCAGGAGCTCGTTGCAAAAATTAGCAGCTTTAACCTACCCATTTTGGCTGATGGACAGGTTTGGATTAAAATGACACGGGAAAGTATAAACAAATACTACTTATACTTAGTGGGTGTTTGGCTAAGCATTCTGGTGGGGTTTTTGTGAGTGTTTTGAGAAATAAAAAAAGCTAAAATCAAGAAGTTGTGAAGTATTTATGAGCAGAACGACCTCTTACAAACTTTATATAAAATAAGTTTATATAAAAAAAAGATAATTTCATTATCCGCCTTAAAATAATGTCTTGTGAAAATTGCTATCCAAACACTAAATCAGACCACCATTTGGAATCACATCATTTTCAAACCACAAATACATGTTTGGATAGCACAAGGTTTACAAACCATGGAGTATCAAACCATATAGGCATATAGCCCTTCCTTCACCCACTAAAATTGGTGGTATGAATATCTCATCATTATTCTTTACTATCCATGCAATTCTGCAGGTCAGCCTTCCAACTGTTCCAGGTGGTACCAAGGAGCACAGTAGTGCAAGGTTCGTAAGTGCTGCACACTATAAACTTATTATGTTGTTTCAGTTTTCAATTGCACAGGTTATGAAAGATTTGGTAAATGTAATCTCTAATGTCTGTACTCTTACAACTTTATTCTGATGAATCTACTGGCAGTGCAACATACAATGAAAAGCTGGATGTATACGACTTCGGTGTAATATTACTAGAACTTATTACGGGGAGGAGGATAAATAGCAAAAAGGAAGTGAAGATCCTTAAAGATAAGGTATAGTCCATCACCGTCTTCTCTTTGACAGCAGTTCAAGAGAACGTAAAACCAAGAGCCCATTTGGTAAAAGCTTTAAACAACTGTAATGGCTGAAGTTGCTAAATATGTAGAAGTTGTGACTTGTGGTTGAATTAAAAACCCCATGGAATTGTCTAAAAGTATTTTTTTAAATATATTTCTTAAATAGATTAGTGAAACATGTTACAATTAATCCATTGAATGTCGGTTAGTCAGTTAGACCCAATTGTTAGTCTTTGGTGAAAAGCGTTGCTGATTAGCCAAAAAACTAAAGCCTACCAAATGGGCACTTGAGTTTCTATGAGCTGTTCATGAGGCTAGTAAATCCTTTCAGTATTTTTTAGCTCATTCATTTTTGTGTGCAGTTGCAAGCAAGTCCAACAGCTGATGATGCCTGGAGAAGAAATATGGTTGATCCAAGAGTCGAGAGTTCATGTTCTGATGAATCGGTACGAACAATGGTGGAAATCTGCTACAGATGTTTGTTTGAGGATCCCGCAGACAGGCCATCGTTTGAGGACATTTTGTGGAATTTGCAGTTTGCTGCTCAAGTCCAAGACACATGCCATGCAAGCTCTCTTAGCAGCAGTGATGTCTCTCCCATCTCCCCCTTTCACCCTTCACGATACCATATATCCGTTCGGTAGCAAGCGGGCCCACTACTAGTTTGGTAAAACAAATCACAGAATTTTTTGTGTAAAAAATCATAATGAAGATTTTCTATCGGGGTGCTGACTACATCACTGGTTCAGGAATGACAATTTTTCATATGTAGGGCATAACATCTTATGTGACACCATTAGATCACTTCAGGGGATCACGTTAATTTTCAGGAAACTTAATGGTGCAAGATTAGTCGCACATAAATAGCTTAGTATTTGAGTGAAATATATGAGAAAATGTTTATCTATCAATTCTTCCAGAGCCCAGAATTGCAGATTTTGAATTAAGAAGTTGCCGGAGCAAAAACATTAAAGAAAAGATAGAACCTTTGAGTCCATTTAACATGCACTTTCATATTCAGAATTAGGACGTGCAGCAAGGTATGAGCATGACAACCACCGCAAAATGCATGGAGTCAATTAAAAACAGAGTAATACTTAAGACCCCTTCAGTGGTTAACTTTGTGATTATTCTGAATACTATGTTCATAAGCAAAAAAAAAATAAAACGGGCTACCAAACATAATCCTATAAGTTGTAATTCTTTAAAAAAAAACTAAAATTAGTTCACACTACAAACTTATGCCAAGGAAAAGAAGTGGCAAAGCTGTGCATTGAATACCCTGTCTGCATGTCAAAACCTTCTAAAGAAGGAATACATCCATGCATTATCAAATTGGTTGTACATTTGTCCTGCTTTTATTTTAAGAAAAAAATATTACTGTTTGCTCTATTTTCGTTTTTTGGCAAGTACATTTGAGTCACAAGGCAAAAACTTTCATCTAGTGGTGGATTCGGGCCGGGTCGGGCCTAGGCCCGGTCGGGCCGCCGGTTCGTATCACATGGGCCCGGGACCGGCCCGAGGGTTGGACGGGTCCGGTTTGGGTCGGGCCACCCGCCCGGGTCACGGGTCGGGCCACCCGCCGGGCCGGGCCGGGTCGGTTAAATATTTTTTTTTTATAATTTATACTTTATACTTTATAGTTTTATACAAGTATTAAAAAACAAACTTCAAGTGCATTTATTTGAAATGAAATAGGAACTACATTTGAAAATTAAATAGGAACTATAATTGTTTTTAAAACATGAAATACTAATCAATCATTCAATATTCCAATCGGAATCTCCGGCATAGGTAGAGTCACCCTCGGTTGTAGATTCATCCATAAAGTGTTGGGATGGGGTGATGTCAATTTCTTGAGCTCTACGGGCTAGGCTTGGACTCGGGTCGGGCCACCCGGCCCGTGGACCGGCCCGGCCCGCTACTGTGCGGGACCGGGACCGACCCGGTTCTCGGGTCCGGGTCGGGCCTAGGCCCGGGGGGTAGGGCGGGTCCGGGCTCGGGTCTCAATTTTGGTGAACCGGCCCGGGCCAAATTGATTTTTTTTTTTCATTTTTGGGGTTCCACCCGGGTTGGGCTTGATGGGTAGCTACCCGGGCCGGTCCCGGGTCCACCATTCTTGAACCGCCGGCCCGCCCGGGCCTAGGCCCGACCCGGACCCGGCCCGGACCCGAGTCCACCCCTACTACGGGCTGCTTTCAACCAATCATGGTAGCATATAAGCATCTCAAGAGATTCAGCGCTCAACCTCGTTCTGGTTTGTGTTAGGACATTGCCGGCCAAATTAAATTCTTGTTCCACGACAACCGTTGAAACCGGCATTGATAGCACTTGCTTAGCCATCTTTGCTAAAACCGGGAACATTCTTTCTTTTCCCTTCCACCAGTTTAGTACGTCAAAATCATCATCTTCTTCAAAATCAACATCATAAGTTAAATACAAAGAAATCTCATTAATTGTGCTTTGTTGTGTAGCGGGAGTTGATTTCGTTTTTTTAATAAGATTGGCAAACGTAGATTTGAAAATTGATTTTTCTTTAGATGATGTTTGTGTCGGGGGAGGGGGCGCATTGCCATATTGTGCATGAAACTCATTGAATAATGCATAAAATATATCACTAACCTCGTTGTATTCTTTTTTCGGATCAATTGGGTTGTCCTCATACATTGGCAATGGACCAAAAGAAGCAGCATAATAATAATTCAAACATTCTTCTAAAGAACCAAGTCTAAAACGAGGATCGAGAACAAATGCAATATTATAAATATGCGGAATATGTGAATAATATTTTAAAAACTTTTCCTTCATAAAACTAACAAAATAACTCACATAATAGGATTTAGGAAGAATTGGAGAAGAGATATGAAAAAATGTTTAAGATTAGGAGTATTTATAGGTTTTTTTACCCTCCACCCCCTCCCACCACCCAACCCCCCCTGCACCCCACCCAACGGCTATATAGCCGTTTGGGTTGTCCCCAGGCCACCCATAACGGCTAGTAAGTATTTAACATTATAACATTTTTTTTTAAATAGGATCGTTGGACCCGGGCCCGACCCGGCCGGGTCACATTTTTCCGGAACCGTGCCCGCCCCGCCCAATCCCACCGGTTCGGGTCTACACCCAGTCCCGGACCGCCCGACCGGGCCGGTCCCGGGCCCGCACAGTATCGGGCCGGGCCGGGTCACGGGCCGGGTGGCCCGAACCGAATCCACCCCTACTTTCATCTCCTATCTCTTACTCACTCTACTTTTCAGTTCTCATCAGTCATCTCCTACTTTTTTCCATTATTTCTCCATTATTCAATATGCCTACGATATTCCTGTGAAAACCTTATGGGTACAATTAAATGTGAAGGGCAGGAGTAATTAAGTAGAATGACATCTGTCATTTACATAGCAGAACAAGGAGGGTATTTTGATCCCCATCTTAGCATATCATCCTCCTATTTAGGGACCATAAAATCTTTCAAGAACAGCAAAGAGGGACAAATGAATGAAATGATTCAGTATGCCCTTGTATCAATAAAAGTTTGTTATCAAGTATGCTCTGATGGGAGGATCCCTAAACACAAAGGGCTGCCACAAAAACATTGAGCACCATTAGTGTTAAGCCTAGCATCCCCGTAGCTGAAACTCAGCTCTTCATCTTCATGTATGTCCCTCATTGCAAAAAAGCAAACACGGGGAAACAAAGCTCCAGAGCTTCGCACTATTTCCGTCCACATGTTCCCGCCATCACAGGAATGGTTAATAAAACGCGCAATGTTTCCAATTTTGGTGGCATCAATGTTCATTCTCATGCACGTGTTTCCAGAAGAAAGATGCTCCTTCACAACCAGAAGGGCATGTGAAAAATGGGCTCTTGATGACATGTCATCATACTGTTTGAAGCGAGCTCTTGCTACATCAGTTGTCACAAGTTCCCCTTCCATGCAAAATGTACAGCAAGATGAATAAGTTGTGAACCCATATTGTTCCAGTACGAATAAGAAACCAACCAAAAGTCAAACTAAACATGCCAAAACCGACCGAAAAAGACACCAATTGATCAAAAAACAAGAACCAATGAAAGATAACCAAAACCGGCCAAAGTTATTTTTCAAAACTGAACTGACCAACCGAACCAATGAGCACACCCATGGCATTCTCATATCTCAGGTATTAGTACTGTTTGTAAATTGGAATGCCCAGAATGTGTTGTCACAGGAACCAAATTAAAAAATTTGCAATTTCTTTTATCTAATAGAGAAAACCTTTCTGGAGTATCGAGACCCTGTTTGGACCTTACTCCATATTCTGAATTACTCCATATACTGAATTAGTCCATATTCAGTAACTATTTTGTACTTTTTGAACCTTAAATAAATCCACAAAAGGCCAAACAGTCAAGTAAAATAGTGAAAGATCTAAGCATTAGCCAAATATGAAGTACGGAATGCAAGCTACGCCCCCCTATGGTAGCATTACAGTTGGTGCTTATTAAGCTATTAGCAGAACAAAAAAACCCAAAGACACTTATTTAGTTATTTGGTTGAAACTTATCTCACCATATGGTTTTTGTTTCAGCAAATTTAGCATATTCAACACATTCCAGCCAAATAACTACTACCAAACGGGCACCAGCCTTTCAGGTCTGCATTTCAAACCCTCTGCACAAATTACTGCCGATGAAAAAAAATACCTGCGTACTCGCAGATGAACATTCCTTTAGTAATCAAATCAGCTGCGCACAAGCTCCAGCCTTTTCTCTTATCCTTCACAATTTTCAGTCTAACTGAAATTCCTTTTTGAGTCAACCGGTTCCCGCAATCCGACGATAAGCAGCTACAGCTAGGACCACACTCCTGACTCGGAAACACGGCCGACTCCCAACAAGTGCAACCGGAACTCTCACCGCATCCCCGGGAGCAGTCGCATCCACGGGCACCCTCAACTCTGAACAAGAATGGGTCGGGTCTGGCCTGACCCCTACCATCGTCCGGGCCTCCCCAACATTGAGCTACGCCGGAGGAGGTATCAGTTGGGAGTGTTTGAACCGGGGTGTATAAGAAGTAAGCGTACGGTTGGGAGTCGACAGCGTTGGTGAAAGGGATGGCAGTATTCTCAAAGCCTCTGGTTGCATCGGAGACTCGAACGGAAGTAATGTCGTCGGCGAATCGATGGCAAGATCTGCAGGTTGATGAAACGGAGGCAAGATCTGGCGGTTGCAAGTAGGGGAAGATAAGTTGGGCGCACTCGAGGAGATTCTCTGGCGCTTCGGAAGAGTGTGGCTCTTCCCGTTCGGGTCGCCCCGTTCTGCATCGTTTCTCCATGACGCAAATAAACCCAAATTCTTGCTAATCAGTTACTTTGATAAACGGTTAATAAGGGCCCAAGGGGCATTCGTGCGAGGAAGGGCAAACATGAGATTGAGTTTTTAAAACACAAATTACTCCAAATAGAAATAAAATTAGGTAAAAATAAAAAATAAGAATTCTTATATTTTTATTTCCAAATAAGACCAAATTACTCTTATTATAAACACACTAAATTTCTCATTCCATTTTTGCCCCTTCTTTGTTATCGGATGGATCCAGACCGCAAAACACATCTGGGTGCATTTATTCTCTCTCTCGCACCGCATAACACATTGATCAATTTCTTCTCTTCTTCTCAATTCTCACCAGGTCGATCGATTTCTTTTGCCCTATATATTAGATTAATTTCATCGCCGACCTCATCCCATGCTGCCGACGTTGCCGACGACTCCACCGTGCGCACGCCGCCGTTTGATCAGTTTTCTTCTTCCTCTTTCTCTTCCTCATCCCATTATTCTATTTTTGGCTTTGAAATTGTTTTTTTCTTGTTTTTCTTCCATTCCTCTGTTTTTTTTGTTCTCACATTCGATTTGATGATTTTTGGTCTTGTATTTCGCATTTCTGTTTTCAAATTTCTGCTATTCTAATAAATTTCAATTTACCAGATTTTTGGATGATGGAATAAAATTTTGCCAAGTTTATGACAAAAATGAGCACACTGACTATCGTTTATGGCAGAAAAGTTTTTTTTGTAAATCTGCTTTTCTGACGTTTTCTCACAAGCTTCATAATTTTGATTTTTTATTGTGTTAGAGTGTTTATTTCATTTTAAAAAAAAAACTAATATTTGCTTGATATTTCAAAAAAAATTAAAAAAAATAAAAAGAAAAGGTTGGTATTTCATATTTTTGCCAAAAGTATGGAAGTTTGTGGTGTTCTTCCAAGATAAATCTGTCACCTTTTTGGCAAATTTGTAATCAACCTTCAAGGCTAAATCTGCCAACTTAATGGCAGATTTACGACACTGGAGTTGTGACGGCGGCGGTGCTTGGAGGTGAGTGGTGGCCCCGGATTTAACATTTGCGGCAATGAGGGACTTGTGACGGCGGCGACGGATGGCAACACCAGTTGGGCGGTGATGATGTACCAACAGGGATGCGGCAGTAGGCGGCGCCGGCGACGGGTGGCGGTAGATGGCGGCGCCGATGAGGGGTGGTCGTAGATGGCGCCGGCGGAGGGTGGTGGAGGCGTACGGTGACGCCGATGTGGGAGGCTACATCTCCAATTTGCCTAAATATTTTTTGTGGCGGCCACAACTGAAATTTGGATTTCCTCTGCTTTAATAAAACGCAGTTCGTTATTTAAAATAAGGGTATTATGGTCCACTCAAGCTTAAAATGACTCCTACTAAACCTAACGTACGAAATCAATCCTATTTTAGCATTTGGTGAGTTTTTTTGTCCTATATGAGTAATTAACTCTTTTTAAAATCCCCAAATAAATTTTTTTAAAGCTTGAACAAGAATATCCTTACGGGACCATCGACGCTCGATTCGTCATAAATCCACCACCGGCGCTCAATTCATCGCCGCCGCCGGTCATCGCCGCCGTCATTATAATAGGACTTTCCTGCCATTAGCGGACCGACCCGGTTTGTGCAGTGAAACTAACATCAATTAATTATATTATTATATTAATTAATTAATTAGATTGTTGGTATTACGGGTAGAAAATTAATGTTTAGTCCTACTTAGGGAATATTTAGCTTGAACTCCTATTTAGGGGTTTAAGGGTAGAAAATTAATATCTAGTGATGGGATATTGGGGTCCGGCCCAGAATATCCCTAGGGCCAAGGGAACGGGAAAGGCCCAAGGAGAAATGGATGGCCCCGAACGGGAGTTCGGTGACTTAAGAGGTACTTCTGTTCGGCACATCCCGAACAGAACATAATTAACACTTGGACAATTAGTGTTCTTCTGGATCATTAGCTTAGTGGATCTTAATACCGATCGGGGATTCACTCAAGTGGCAGACTGCATTTAATGCTGGAGCATGGAGGTCTCAAGTGGGAGCATGGGTGCACAAGTGGCTTGGAAAGGATCCACTCATGATAGATCACCTCATACCCCCACCTACCCCCAATTAGTATAAATAGCAGCATTTATTTCATTGTAAAGAGTTAACATTTGTTTACTCACTAGCCTATATTGCATTATAGCTCTTGTGTTCGGGTTGTAACTGCCGTTCGGCCTTCCCGTGTAATTGTTATTACTTCGTCAATACAAGCAGGGCTATTTGAGTGACTCAACCAGTTTTTATATTTCTTTATACACTTTACTGTAGCATTCAAACCCTAGATCTAAGGTTGGTGTTGGACCTTCGGAACATTCGGGACTTAAACTCAACATCTAGTTCTACATATGGAATATTTAGCTTAGAGATATTAAGGGTAGAAAGTTAATGTTAAATCCTACTTAGGGAATATTTAACATGAACTACTACTTAGGGATATTTAGAAAAAAGGAGTATGTTTTACTTGGACTATTTTCAGTCCGAGATCGGACCATATCAGACTTAAACATACCAGGTCAGTCCAGACTAGACCAGACTTGACTTCCGTAATTATAAAATACACAAAGATAATACGTTTGCCAAACCATACCAGATCAATGCAGGCCCAGTCAGATCTAAACAGACCAGACCATACCAACACATTATTGTCCAAATAAACACATCTTAAGGGCAGTTAGTTGTTCATTCTCTCTCTCTCTCATACCAACTAAGATACACATAATCTATTCATATACTCATACAAATACCATTTTACCCTAAACACTCTAGCATGTCCATCTTTCCAAATTTTACTCCATTTCTCCTACCACGTTGATTTATCTTTTTGAAGTAGATTCATTCATTCGTTCAATTCAATTCATTTCTCTATTTTTTTTACTTTTTTTATTACTCAATTTAACACAGATATGAAACATTGTCTCTTTGGAGTAGATAAAAATAAAACCATATTAAAAACTCATTCCTTCATATTAACACAGATATGAAACATTGTCTCTTTGCCCCGACACCTGGATTATAAAAAAAAGAAGAAGAAAAGTTGGTGGAAGAATAAATAAGACGAGAGAAGGAAAGAAAAAGAAAAAATAAAAGAAAAGGAAGAAAATGAAAAAGTAAAAGGATGATCCACACAGGCGTAATGACCTGCTAATCGAGAGGCAACCTATAAAATTGAACATTTGAGCGTTTTTTTAACTTAACGGGATTAATTGAGTGTTTTTTTAGTTTCAATGGCTTAGTTGACTTTTTTTGTATACTTCAATAGTCGATTCAACAATTTAATTTTGTTAAATTTACCTAAATGGGAGTAATTAAGTTCTTAATTGCTAAAGTAGGACTAAAGTTTAAAATTTTCCTAAATAGGAGTTATTATTTGTAGTTGGACAGAAATACCCCTGAATTTGACAAAACAGCCTACCACCAACAGACCGCTGCACAGGCCACCGCCGGCCATCGTCGGCCACCACCGGCCACCGCCAGCCGCTGTCGTAACCTCAAAACTAGGTGCCGCTGGAGATTTGGCCGCCACGGTTGCAGACTTGATCGCCGTCGTCGTAGATCTGACTACCGCCTCTCTAGATCGGGCCAAATCTGACCTCCGCTGACCGCAAACTGCCGCCCAAGCAGATCTAGCCACCGCCACTGCAGATCCAGACGCCGCCACCGCAGATTCAGACACCACCACTGCAGATCCGGCCACCACCATGGCAGATCTGATCGACGCCACCACTGATGCCAACTTTTTTTATCAAAATGCCAACCTGAATCGAGAATGATATATTAATGGCATTTTTAAAGAAAAGTATTAATTTCTTAAAGAATAAGAATGCCATTTTGATGGCATTTTAGGAAAAAATTGACAATCGTAAAAACGAAGTAAAGCATACTGGTTTAATTTCGAACATTATTGACAAACACAGAGGCATCAAGCCATTACAAACCCAAAACCCAGCAATTACAATTTCCAGACATGAGGAAGAAGATGGAAAGGCTCTCAGAAATTCATATAGAACAAAAGAAGAAGTAAATTGAAGAAACGGAGGAGTGTGAAGGAGTAGACAGGCCACGTATGTTCATTGCCGTTGCTGACCGGCGCTCGCCGGCGTAAGTTGCCGCTGCTCACCACCTCTCTCTATTGAAGTCGAGCTATGTGTAGAAGATGCGACCCTGCTGAGCGTGGACGAAGCTTATAAGTTGCCGCAGGGTTAAAATGAATTAGAGGGTAAAATTGGAAAATGATCCTATTTAGGGAATAAAATTATACTTGCTCCTATTCTGGAATTTTAATAACAATTTAGTCCTATTTGAGGCAAATTTTCTTTAATTTTCTCTTTCGCAAATCAAGTTTCAAACAATAGTTTCCAAATTATTTAATAGACTTTTAGTTCTGCCAAACCTAACCTAACCTAAAATTCTCGAGTTAGTTCTCTAAATAGGACTAACACAATGAACCCCGCATTTAATATCCTGGGATCGGCACACTGATATGCACTAGTTTATAGTGCATAAACGTATGTTTTTATGTTGATTGAGTGTGGATTTTCCATTACTTTTAGTTAGTTTGTAAGTACTTGTTTTATTTTGTTTGTAATGGTTCTCTCCTTCTTTTCGGAGTTATAGAATAGTGATAGAGTTTGTAGCAAGGAAAAGGGGAGAAAAACTAAAGACAAAAAGACCCAGGAGCATAAAAACCCGACCGGGTCAGACCTTGAACCCGGTCGGGTCAGTTGAAGAACAGATCTAAGAAGAAAAAGTAAGACCCGGTCGGGTCCCTTACTCGACCCAGTCGGGTCAGATATGACCCGGAACACCAGAACATGCTGAAGATCACAAAGATTTGGAAAAAATCTGATTTAGACCAAACCCGGTCGGGTCCCTCACTTGACCCGGTCGGGTCTGACTTGACCCGGGACAAATTAACGTGCTGGAACAATGAAACGTGGGAGATTATCTGATTTTGACCGGTACCCGGTCGGGTATGTACCTATACCCGGTCGGGTAC